ATGTGGTGAAACTCACTTAACAACGCTCTTGCTTAGCAACCAAAATGTTGGCTCAGAAATTCTGGCACTTGAAGCAAGCAAGTCTTATCCAGTTACAAGACCCTTTAAAATAGAGATGTAAACAATATGATGATTATTATATATGTTTGTTAAGGTGACCATATTCAATATATTATGTTTTCATTAGAAGATATGTTCAGAGGGACAAATGAATAGACTTATGCTGATTATTAATATTGTAAGCTTAGAGAATTATCATTAATGCAATGAATATTGTAAATTTTGATTGTAATTGTACAGAGACATTTGTACCCAGGTGACACATTGTTTAATGGAAGATAATAAGATCAAGTTAAAAAACAAAAATAATAATTAAAAAAAAACTGTATGTATGCATCATACTAAAACCTGAATAAAAGACCCCAAACCATGTATTACACTAAAATCTAAATAAGGCATAATGTTGAGAGTCAGATGTAACCCTATGCTGCAAACCGTGGTATAACAACCGTTCTTCTTAACTTCAGCAACTTGAAGATGGGTGGACTTCAACTCCCAGAATTCCCCAGCCAGCACTGAATTCTGGGAGTTGAAATCTAACTGGAAGTCAAGTTGTTGTAGTTAAGAAACACTGGTCTGCAAGGGCTTATCTCATATACACGACACTCGCACAAGATAACATAGTTATAATGCTAAACATTACAGGTTAGCAGAAGAAAGGATCCAGTTTAGGCTCATCTCTCAGCAACCTTTCTGATTTCCCTATTTAATTGTAAGAGGGAGACGGAGGGAGAGAAAAAACCCTGTTACGAAACCCGGAATCACCGACTCCACTTTCTCCTCTCTCTACTATGGACTGCTATCCATGGAAACGAGGAAAGAGGCTACATGGCGGCGGGAGGGGCGGGGAGGCACTCTAGGATCTAGACTCGTTGCGGGGGGTGGGGGTGTGTGGAAGGAGATGCCGCTCCTTCCGGCGCCGGCTGCTCTCCTTTTCCCGCCGTGAGGTAAGCGGGTTTCGTGCTGCTCGCGGCGGCGTTGACTGGGCGGGAGGCTCCGCTCGCGAGGCCGGGACTTTTGACCGGACTGGGGATGGTGGTGGTGGTAGCAACGAGGGCAGGAGGGTTGGGGCTGTTTCGCGACCCTCGTCGCCTGCTGTGACCCTCGTCGCCGGCTGTGGCTAAATGGCCGCCCTCGCCCTATCCGCCTGCTTGGAAGGGGAGCTGCTCCCGAGTTTCTCCTCAGTGCAGGGTTGTGTGTGTAAGTGTAAAAGAGGAGCTGCTCCTGAGTTTCCCTCTGCAGTTGTGTGTGCGTGTGTGTAAAAGAAAAGCTGCTCCCGAGTTTACCCTCAGTACAGGTTTGTGTGTGTGTGTGTGTGTGTATGTAAGTGTAAAAGAGGAGCTGCTCCCAAGGTTCCCCTCAGTGCAGTTGTGTGTTTGTGTAAAAGAGGAGCTGCTCCCGAGTTTCCCTCTGCAGTTGTGTGTGCGTGTGTGTAAAAGAAAAGCTGCTCCCGAGTTTACCCTCAGTGCAGTTGTGTGTGTGTATGTGCAGGAGGAGCTGCTCCCGAGTTTCCCTCAGTGCAGTTGTGTGTTTGTGTAAAAGAGGAGCTGCTCCCGAGTTCCCCTCAGTGCAGTTGTGTGTGTGTGTGTGTCTGTATGCAGGAGGAGCTGCTCCCGAGTTTCCCTCAGTGCAGTTGTATGTGTAAAAGAGGAGTTGCTCCCAAGGTTCCCCTCAGTGCAGTTGTGTGTTTGTGTAAAAGAGGAGCTGCTCCCGAGTTCCCCTCAGTGCGGTTGTGTGTGTGTGTGCAGGAGGAGTGTGTTTGTGTAAAAGAGGAGCTACTCCCAAGGTTCCCCTCAGTGCAGTTTTGTGTGTGTGTGTCTCGAAAGGTTGATATTCCTCCCCCCTTTCATTCCCCCCCCCCGCTTTGCAGCACTTCCAAAGGGGGTTCCCGGTGGCACCCTTTGACTGGCCAAGGCTTATTCAGTTGACTAAGCTATAAATTGTGATTTGCAAGCTCCCCGCCCCCCAATGAAGATTTCCACATGAATCTGAACCCAAACACCAAACAGAAAGGAATCCCTTTATGGTTTAGCCCAGGGCCGAGCAATTAATTGGGAGAAGCATGAGAACCTGGGACCCTGATTTTTCCTACTGTTTTCTTTTGTATTTTGTATTATAAGCTAATAAAAACGGTGAACATATTTATATTACATTTATAAAAATATAAATATAAATAAATAAATATAAAAACACCCAGTAAATTACGTATTTTTGATTAGCTGCTACGAATACATGTTGCGTCTTATTTACATTTGATTTCTAATATCAGAGACCGGACAAGGACAGCCAAAGGGCCATCAGGTGTGATTTAAGAGCAGTAAAATACCTCTGTCTGGTTTAGCCCAATCTATGAATGGAGTGTAATCTGACTGATTCTATTTGCAGTGAGACATGGTGGCTGTTTTCTTGGGTTGTAAGTAGGGAGAACAGATTCATTGGAGAAAATGGCAGATTAGGGATCTAAGCCGCATTCCAAAAGACAATGTTTTGATTATTGGTCTTGAAAATCCAGAAGATGTCATATATTGAAGTTAAAAATATATATAAAAAATAAAACCCCTGCCAATTTGTGTGTGTTTGGGGTGGAATGTGTTGGAATGTCTGTTGTCTTTTTGAAGTAGGTGGTTTCTCTGAATTGATAGAGGGTTTCTTTTTTAATCAGGAAGTATGAAAATTTTGTAATGGCACACTATTTCTCAGCATTAATCAGGGTCGAAACTAGATAGTTCCTGAATCTCAAAAATTCTTTCTGTTCCTGCTTTTCATCTCAGCAGATCATGTTTGGCAACTAATTTACTTCCCAGAAATGCGGGGTGGGGGATATATTGTTGATTTGGTGTGGTAAAAGTATGAACCAGGAAGTAAGAGTTCAGAATTCAGCTGGTTTATAAATGCCTTGGATTTAAATCCTTTATGTGGGAATAGATTGTCCTGGACTCGAGAGTGACTCCTTTGGAGGATGGTCTGTATATGGTGCAGAGTGATTTGCACTCTGATGATTAAGGCTTTCTATTATTAGCTTTACGGCTAGTCTCTGATCTGTAACTTAAGGACAGTAAAACTGATTTATACTGCGGCTGCGGTTTGTCCAACACACAAAGCCAAGAGGTGGTGGATGCACCATACTTTTCTTTACATTGCTCATTGCTCTTTTATCAAACTTTCCAGTTTGCCATATTGTCCCAAAGGTGTTTTTTTGAGAGGCAACTGGACTTTCTGTTTTTTCTTTAAAGACATTTCTCTTCTCATCCAAGAAGCTTCCTCAGAGCTGAAGAAGCTTCGTGGATGAGAAGCGAAACATCTTCAAACAAAAACCAGAAAGTCCAGGTGCCTCTCAAAAAAACACCTTTGGAGCAAACAAACATGATCTAGATGACTGAGTATCTCCATAGACATTTGGAGATTTAGCTTGCCAAATTATGTGGCTTGGGATTGATCAGTATTTTGACTTTTTGCGTATGAGTCATGATTTCTGGAAATTCTGCATTATGATCTACAAATCATGGTTAAAGATCAACATACAGTGGAGATTAAACTATGTATGCTTGTTTACTAGGCATTTTGATTTAGCCTACCATCTGTACACTGCACGGTAACCTTCCAATTTTGTGTCTCTGTGTTTAACTTCAAACTGTTTTTGACTTCTGGCAATTGCCTAGAGAGGTCCCTGAAGATTTCTTGACAAGATTTTCAGAAGCGATCTGCCATTGTCGTTTTCCTTTATACCAAACTGATCTCCTTCCCCAATTAGTGTTCTATAAATGTTTTGGTCAATCACTCCAAATTTCCCAGCAAGCATGAGATATCTGGGAATTCTTTTCTTTCTAGCAAGATGATGCCATATATAGAATACAACTTTTAACTTGTGTTTGGTTTTCAAAACAAAAAGAGGAAGGAGAATAGAATGTTGCCAAAGTTGCTGGTGAAACCCTAAACTCTAAACAGCAAATCACATTTAATCTACAAGAAATCACTACCCTATTTCTCAAATCACATCTGAGGACTTACACAACTTTTTGATGAGAAGACTTCTTGCCAAGATGTTTAATATCTGAAGAACAGGGATAAAACCCTTATTTCTGGCGTTCCTAAACTAATCCAGCATTTATTCTAGAGTTTTAGGCTGTTTGTTGAGTGTTTGCTGAATTAAAGGACAACTTGCCTTCAGAGATTTTTACATAAATTTATCTTTCCCATTTTTTTTTTTTTTTGCTAAACTCCTTTTTAACCTGGTATTTTTATCCTTTGTTAGCAGTCTTATAAAAGGATTGAATCCGTGTGTTCTGTAGTAATTAGTCTGTGGAATTGCCGGGGGCTATCTCAGAATGAAAAAGTGAGACCTCAAAGTAAAATAGAGTTATAGATAAGATAGAGGAAAACTGCAGGAGAAAAATGCCCCTATAGATAAAAGATGTACCTGGCAGATCTGGGTGTGCTGCTTCTGTTATTGTTATGTGTCATTACAGTTTTACATTTGTAAAAAGTATTTTATCCTATGGTAACATCTAACTAAGTATATGAATAGGGGTCTTACCTGAAAATTTTAGTTAACTGTTAATTGGACTGGGCTGGCAAAAGAACATCTCAAAAGAAGAAAATGACAAACTACAATTATATTGTAGCCAAGAAAACTACATGGATGTATCTATGTGAGTCATCAGGAATTGGGTTGAACCTGAAGACCTCTTTATTTTAAACAAGCTCTAACAGCAGCATATTAAATTGTAAAAGAATAAATCACACATTCTCAGGCAGTAGATAAGAAACGGTTTTTGGCCTGGGGTTTGACAGTAGCTAATCTGCACCTATTGTTAATCTCTCAGATGTGCCATGGAATCTTCCTCAAATTTAAAACAGGTACTGAACTAGCTGTCAAGGTTCCGACAGATGCCCTAATTCCCTAATTAATTCAAGAGTCTCGAGCCAAGTTTCAAAAGGAATCCAATGATTTATTAAGAGCAGCATGTCGGCATCTACTCAAATGAAGTCTGCTCTGTTGCACGTAGGTTACGGCCCACCTTTGACCCTGTTCCCCCCATCCTTTCAGTCTGTGTCATAAATCACATTCTCCAACGAGGTACTCTTGTGGGTTTTAGAGACACGCCTCACAATCCAGCTTTGGTAATCTGAGATTCAACATTTGAAGAAGATATGCATGGACCCGGATTGTTGTTGGGGGCAATATGCTGACTCTGTAAACTGCTTAGAGAGGGCTGAAAGCCCTATGAAGTGGTATATAAGTCTAACTGCTATTGCTATGTGCTCCCCCCTTGCTTCTAATGGCAACTTGAGAGCAGACTAGAAATGCTTTTGCGAGTTGACACTAGCATCCTCTAGATGTCTTCACCTACACATTTCCATAATCCATTGTTCTTGGTAATGCAGACAATAGTTGACTAGTATGGAGTCTTTGATAAATCTAATCTAATTTAAAGAAATTCTTTGGCCCTTCTTCCTTTTTGTGAGATACTTCTTGGTGTCACATAAAAACAAGGTAGCACTGCTACCTTGGCCCTTGATCAGCAGGTGAAGTCATTAGAAATAATGAGCTTAAAATTGAGTTCACAACCTTGGGAATGCTGGTCGGTGTCCATATTAAAAGCTTGTGCATCTTCTCTTGCTTGGAGAACCTAGCTTCCTGATATAAAACTTCTTTCATCCTAGAAACTGGATGGCTTCTAATGCGAATCTCAAGCTGCACAAAGGAATTCTGCTGGAGGACGGCATGCCAGCTGCAAAGAAGCCTAGGTAGGTGGTGGGATCTCTAGTTGCTGAATTGGAAGTGAAAATAAACTTTGGCCACTTTTTTGGCATGTGTGGGGAGATATTCTTCAAAGAACAGTTTTCCAGACGGAATTTACACTTTAAAATCCTCAGTCCAGCAGGCAGTTCTGTTTCCGTTTTCATTTCTCACGGGGAATACTTTCTTTAGGTCAGCTTCTATTTTTCCTCTACTTTTGGTTCAGTGTAGCTAACCTTGCAAATATAACTATCAGAGTTGTTAAGACTGTACAGTTCTATCTCTGCTATCCTTTATAGAACTATAAGAATTGTGGCTGTTTCCCAGTCATTAGTTCACAAAACAACCTACTTCATGTCACTCTTAGGAAGATGAATGGAAAGGATCAAGTACTTAGGATCCTAGGAGAAAAGGCAAGAGAGAAATGTAATCATTAATTATGCTCATATCTTCCCTTCTGTCCTCTTTGTAGGAAACTCCTGCCAAGTTTAAAATGCAAAAAGCCCCAGGATCTAGTCCTAGTGATTGGAACAGGCATCAGTGCAGCAGTGGCTCCCCAAGTGCCAGCCTTGAAGTCTTGGAAGGGCTTAATCCAGGCCCTGCTGGATGCTGCGATTGATTTCGACCTACTAGAAGAGGAGGAGAGGAGAAAATTTCAGAAGTGTCTTGAGGACAATAAAAACCTCATCCATGTTGCTCATGATCTGATCCAGAAACTGTCCCCTGTGAGTTGAGGCACCCAGAAGAGAATCTTTTGCAGGCTTGAAATAAAAGATGTGCTTAAAATAGCTGAGCTGCAGATGACCCACTAAGGATGGATGGCTCTGCAAAATTCCAGCTGTCCAGTTGAATATCATTGGCAGAAATGCTTTGTGTTGAAACCAGAAGCAGAGTTGACTCACTTACTTCCAGTAAGGCTAATGGTCCTGTTTTGAGTTCCATCCTCAAAGAAGGTTGAGCATTATGGCTGTGCTTCCTCTAATAATGTCACTGTGACACATTCCTCTGCTCATGGTCTTTTAATCAGTAACATTAAAATGTGCCTCCATAGAAGATCTCCACACCTTACTTTTAAAAGAATTAAAATTGGGTGGAGAGAAGAAGCTGGGCATCCAAATTAATTTGGTGATGGTAATCTATGTCAGGTTAAGGTATGGAGTCTGGTGATGCATGTCACCTTTTCCCAATCTGATGCCTTTCTTGTGTGTCCTCTCCAGTAACCACATCATTTAGGATGATGAGAATTGGAGTTCAGCACATCTGGGAGGCTACACTGCTTGGGGCATGTGGCATGAGATTCTGATCTTGGTGTGTCTTGTTTCCTTTGCAGCGCACAAGCAATGTCCGTTCTTCTTTCTTCAAAGACTGCTTGTATGAGGTCTTTGATGACCTGGAGTCCAAGATGGAAGACACGGGGAAGCGGCTCCTGAGGTCAGTTCTTCATCTGATGGAAGACGGCGCCCTTGTTCTGACCACCAACTTCGATAACTTGCTGGAAATTTATGCAGCTGATCAAGGGAAGCAGCTTGAATCTCTTGACCTCACTGATGAGAAAAAGGTAACAGTGTCCCTTTTCTTGTCCTAAGAGCAGTTACACCTTGTGGAGCAGACTCCCATGAAAAAGTTCAGTGTAAGCCAAAAGTGGTAGGATTTGGAAACTGCACTAAACCAAAAGCAAATAAACCGTTTTGTGGCTTAGCTTGATACGCAAACACTGTCAAAATGCACATTGCTTGCTTTGGTTCTCCTCCCAATAGTGAAATTCCAAATGAAAACTTCGCTCTAGAGAATCTATAAACTACTGTTGATAGCTGAACAACAAAATGTTGTATATTTATATCAATAATAGAAGTTCTGTACCACACAAAAAGCAATCAAAATATAATGTCCCTGAAATTACAAATTTTATTGTCTCCGTTCTACTTCTGAAATCTTGGAAACAAAGTTTGGGAACAAGAATGAGACAGCAACAGAGACATGAAAGGGAATTAAAGTGTCGAAGTAACAAATAGTGATCATGAAGTTGCTATGGATTCTAGAATGGGGATGTAGCCTTCCAGCTGTTGTTTCACTGCAATTTTCATCCTAGATGCTTATATTGAATAGGTCCTTGAGTGGGCACAGGAGAAGAGGAAGCTGAGTGTTCTTCATATCCATGGAGTCTACACAAATCCCAGCGGAATAGTGCTTCATCCTGCTGGTTACCAGAACGTCCTACGCAACGTGGAAGTTATGGTGAGACTGGCAGGTTCTTTTTAAATGTTGTTGACTTTGGAATGAAGATTGTTTGCAATTTTTGATGTGTGAGTTTATAAACATTTAGAAATAGCCATAGTGTTGGAGCGCCACATTTGAAATTGGAAGGGGAGAAGGAGATAATATATAAAGATTCCTAAGGACTCCATCTCATCCCCAATTCTGCCCATCCTCAGTTTGCCATACGAGGCTGAAAATGTCTCCTAAACATACAGAGTTCCTATTTCGTATCATTCTGTAGAGAATCAACAGTTTGAATCCTGTTTTTTTCCCCAAAATAAAAAACTTCTGCCCATTGAATTAATCAGACAGGCTAGAAAAAGTGTGGGAGGGGGGATGAGAATAGGTCAAACCAAGTCACAGTTTCTGTGTTTATCTGCAGGGTTGATTCTGACTTGTTCCTGGCTTGCTTAAGACATGAATGGTTAAGATAATCATGTCTTAACTTTCTCTGTAGACCTTCACTTCCTATTTCTCTCTGGTCTGAGCTCCTCCAGAACAGGTACAGGTTGAGATTTAGAAATGGCTCCATCTTTAGGTGGGAACTAATCCTTAGAATATTCTCGGTACCTTGTAGAAGGGTTTTTTCATCGTGCTGTCTCGTTAATATTGAATCATAATACTGTTTGTATGGGTATTTGCAATAGCCTTTAAGCACATGCTTTCACTGTAACTATTTGAGGGAGTTGGCTTTTTATTCTTTTCGTAATCCTAACTTTTCCCTTTCTTATGAAAATAGAGACATTTTATCTTTTTGTTTGCTTGTGTGCTTTGTCTTTTAAAGCGGGAGATCCAGAAGTTGTACGAAGCCAAATCTTTCCTGTTCTTAGGCTGTGGTTGGACTGTGGATGATACAACCTTCCAAGCCCTCTTCCTTGAAGCTGTGAAACACAAATCAGATCTGGAGCATTTTATGCTTGTGCGTCGTGGAGATGTGGATGAATTTAAGAAGCTCCGAGAGAACATGCTTGACAAAGGGATTAAGGTCATCTCCTATGGGGAGGAATACTCGGACTTGCCAGAATATTTTGAGAGACTGACAAATGAGATCTCCAACTTGAATCAAGCAGGTAAGGAAACCATTATTTTAATAATGAATATTTTCCTATATTTATTGGGGGTTTTCAACGCTTGTGTGCTGCCCAGAGTCACTTTTTTATGATAAATATAAATAAATTTGTTTTCTAACAGATGAGTTTATTGGTGTGTCCAGAACTCCCAAAAACAGATCTTATTCATTTCATAGATTTATCAAATTTAAAAATCTGTCTATCTCACTTTAGAGTGATGCTGGGTGGTATATGTCCTGGGTTCTTAGGTGTGCCCCACCCCCCTGCCTTTGAGTTCTTTTTAATGTGACAGATGGAGATAATTTATGCAGTATTAACTGTGTTCTAAACAACATTTAAATGTAATGTAGGTTACAATTTACAACGATCAATATAAATTACATACACAGCTTAATCTGGCTCAGATTGTATTGGACCTATCCACTTTTTATAAGTTTAAACTCTGAGGTTTTCCAAGTAGAGATTTAGTTTAGGTGCTAAAAATGCTTCTGGATTTCTTTCATACATTCTTCAACTTTACACTCTGTTTTAAGGTATCTTTTTTTTCCTTCCTCCCAGGTTCACGACAGGGGGGACAACTGAATGGCACAAATACTGTGCGCATTGAAAACAAAGGTACAGAACTTACTTAATATTCAGAATTCCTTGCAGTCAGCTGGGAAGATGAATCTTGCCAACCAGCAGCTACCACTCACACTAAAATTGTTGTTTTTTAATGTGTGGTAGAGGCTTAGGACTAAACATAGCAGAAAGCATCTTACAGGGGATGGAAGATGCCCTAGGAAGAACGGAAGTAGATGCTTCTCTGCTTCAAAACTCCCAATAAGCCAGATTAAGATGGATTTTTTTGTGTGATGGTTCTGTGTTAGCAGAGAGAAAAATGAAGAAAAGCAATAAATCCAGTGGTTCTTATTGCCACCGAACCAATTTAAAAACTCCCTTTTATTTCTTAGGGAGGAATACTTGTTAAAAGGGGAACTGCCATGTTTTACAGGACATCTTAGCCTAAGTAAACTCTTTGAAACCTGGTTTGGTCAGGTGAAACAGATTGCGTGTTTCCCCGTGTGTAGAGTAACTAGGGTAATATCCAAACGTTTGTCCATTCATTTGCCAGAGATTGGACCAACTGGATGAGACCTACAGGACACATTGATATTGTTCCTGATTAATTAACACAGAAAAACACTCCTGATCGTTTAATAGACCCTGATGCTGAGGAACAGGAAGTACATTCCACGACGTTTTCCCAGTTCTGTTCATTACAAGATCCCCTTGTGGAAAAAATAACTAGCCTGTTTAAGCATTGAGAATCCTTAGGGGACGAGAGGTATCACTTCTGCTGAGATGCATGGAGGATCTGTATTTCATTTACAGACTGGTCCTCTCACCCATCCCGCTTACAAGAGAGAGTTTCTCAAAAGCTGCCGTTAAGTTACCACTCCGTAAACCTGGGGTTCTACTAGAAGTATGTACGGTTGAGATAATTGGTGGTTTGCCATATGGTGGTAAACTCGAACCTGTGCCTTTTCAGTCTTCTGGGAGCTAGAAGTTAATCCTGTTCACCATTTTGTGTGGTTCCCAGCCAGCCTTTTTTATATGATTCTCCATATTCTTAGAATGTCTCCCCCATCAGTAAGGACAGACAACAACTGAAGATACTCGAGGAGTAACTGAGAACACTTGGCATGTTGCCAGAGCAAGTGGCATGCAGGTCCTGTAGTTATATGACTGCATGGCTGGCTGAGGAATTCTGGGAATTGAAGTCCATACAACTTAATGTTGCTAAAGTGTGGATACACTATAGTAGATTAAGCCATTATATCTCCTTCCAAGAGATTTTTCCAGAGATGAAGACATGTTTATTCAATCTGATCTCATTTTCTATTTAGGTTTTGTGTAAAAAAAAAAATCCTGTCAAAATTGAGTTTATTACCTCTACTTTGATATTCTGTAAAAATTTAGACTGAGCCACATGAACATTTTAAAAAAAAGTGAAGGTCTAATTTTCTAAATTTTATACTTTGTATAAATTTGAACCTGGGATTTTTAAAACCGTTTATCTGTCTCTGATTTACATGAGCTGTGTGTAAATTATGGCTGCTAATCATGATGATAATCAGCCTAATATGCATACAGTACTTTTGGTTGACTAACTCATGGTTTACATAGCTACCCAAATTCTGGGTTGGCACAATAGTGTACTAAAATAATAGTTGACTAATTTGTGGTTTACCTGTTCGATGACTGCTGGTCTGAAGCTAGCTCAGCTTGACTTATTTAACTATGTTTTGTCTCCTTTTTTATATCACTAAATTGTGATCTTTTAAAGTTGTTTACTGATCAATCTAACCTGATAGTTTGTATATGACACTAAGCCAAAAATAAATCAAATGAAGGGTTGGTGCTTGTGTGTTAATTTGGTCTTTAATAGACGAAGTGGCAAAGCAACTGGATAGTTTTTGGATTTTTGTTACCTGTCTAGTGAGCAAGTGGTAGGACAGGGAATGTAGTCCTTATTCCTGCTTATTCAGATCAAACTACGGGCTTAAAGTAACGTTGGGATGTATCCATTCTCAACAACAGCTTCATGAGTCTTGCTGTTGCAAAGTTGGAGGCCCTCCTAAAATCCTACAGATGGGGCTAGCAAGAATAGAACAGAAAGTGAGGAATCTGCACACCTAGAAAACCTGTTGATCACACATGATCTTAGAGAAGCCAGCTTTTCAAATTCAGGAAGACAAAGAAAAGGTTTTAGAAATTTTATATAAATTTTCAGCAGGCAGCATTCAACTTATTGCACTAGAGCACATCTGCAATGCCGAGCTACCAAGGCGTCTTTGTAGAGACAATGGTGTTATTCAACATAGCACTTTATTATCAGGATCAAGAGGCACTCTGAAAGGAGGAGGAAAGGGAGGAACGCAGCAGGCAGCCACCAGGATTATCCCTAGTGGAAGAAGGGGACAAAGAAGCAGACAGGCTGGTTTGGAAAGCAAAAACCAGTGCAGATGGGATAGCATGCAGTGGCCCCTGCTGGCTGGTTGTGCATCCCTCCCCCTTGACAGGAGAGGCAGTGACTTCCAGAGCGCCACTTCTTTATGGCAGAGAGAGAAATCTTAAACCCACTCCTTAGGCCAGAAGCTCATCTGCCAAAATTAAAATCCACACAAAGACTTATTTTTCCCCTTTAGGGGAAGGACCCTGTTGGCCGGGGAAGGGGCCAGATAAAGGAACTGTCCTTAGAGAATCTTCAGGGACACAACCATCTGCTTCTCTGATGTTGTTTGAAGATGGTGTGCAAAGATACACGCAGGGTCGTCATAGACAATTCAGACAAACTTAATGCATAAGGGGTTGATGAGATGACTTTGAGAAGGAATCGGCAGCCCTCACATTCATACTTCCTCCTCTGAGAACAAATTTACCCTTTCTCTGCTGTGAGCTTTTTTGGTCTGCAGTTGGGGGAATTGTGATCAAAACCAGCTTATGAAGGCTACAACATCAGCGGCCTCTATCTATCTCTGCTCTACCCAACAATCGGGGATGGCTAATATAACTGCTAGGGAAGAGCCATTTGTCCAGGCGTCACCCCTTTGGTTTCTAATCCCCAGAAATGTAATCCAGAGCAGCTGTTCAGGCCCAAGGCAGAATCTGAGGTATGTCAGTCATCCCAAGGGCTGAAGCACAATTCTCTTCAACTGTTGTGATACCACTAACCCAGGAGGAACTAGAGAGAACGACCAAGGGAGCAAGGAGGGGGGGAAAAGGGTTTTACTGGACAAGGGAGCATGGAGTATACTCTAGAGTAGGCATTTTGAGAAAGACTTGTCTCAAAGAACTTTAGAGCGGGACAAAGTCATTTTAAATAAGTGGAATACAACTGAAGACAGGCAGCTCTCCCTAAAATTGAACCCCATGCACTGCAGGGTGGAAAGTGTGCAATATGTAAAGAAATGAAGACAGTGGCTTTATTTTGTTTTTCCCCTAGCACTCCTGTATTCTCTCTTGCACTATACCAAAAAAAAAGAAGTAAGAAAGCAAAGGATGAAGGGGTGGGGTGGGGGGCAAGCTTCCAGGAAAAGTCACATCGGAAAGCACATTCTAAGACATCGGCAAACAGGAATTTGGTGCAACAATGGATGCTTAGGCCTTCATAAGAGCAGCAACTACAGCCTTGGCATTAAGGCTACGTAGGTCACAGTAGGTCTGTCCAGTTCCCACAAAAACAATTGGTTTGCTAGTGATGTATGTCATGGAGATTGCAGCTCCAACCTGGGGGAAAAAAGGACAACTGTTACAGACCTTCAGGGGACCAAGCAAATCAGGATAAACCTAGAAGCTCTTTTAAGCCAAGCAACCTTATATATCCCCGTGCGTATAATTGCAAAGGGATCAATACTTTTGTTGCTATAATTTATCTACAAAGCAAACTGAACAGTATGGGTTTTTTTTTCCCCAGCCATAAATGCAGCAGCCCTTTTATTCTGTTTGGGGAAGCAGTGGCAAGCAAAAGTTGGAGCTTCTTTAATTCTTGAGCCTTCCACAAAAATTGCCTAGAGGCTGCCAAGCTGGTCTAAGACACCCCCCCAGCCCCAGTCAAAACACGTCAAAGGTTCTGCCTGTCTCAAGCAAGGAGTTCAAATGACCCCACATTTACCTTGTCATCAATGGTGTCAAACTTGGTGAGAACAATTCCATCAATGAGCCGTGGGGATTGAGCGATGGAGTAATCCGCAAGAGCTTTGTTAAATTTGACCTGAAGGAGTGGTGGAAGGAAAAAAAGGAAATGGGTTTGGAAAAATCTGCATATTAATACACTTTTGTCTTTTGTTCACATTACGTGTGGTAAAACCTTCAGAGTTCCACACAAGTGACCTACAGCCTAATTCCTGAATGTAACACACTGTATGATAACCATTCAAAGGAGAGATGGGTTAGATGCCTGGGTTTGTAGCTTAATGTGAGGCTCAAATCCATTGTCAGCATCTCCTTCCCTCCTTTTTTGGCAGTTAAGGTAAAGTAAGTGAATGATGTCTCACTCAAGGGCTCCTTTGGTTTAAAAAAACCACTGTCCAGAAGGTTGCAAAATGATGCAAGAGGTACAATCCTCAATGACTTTCAAGATCACCCGGGATTTAAACATTTGCAAGTGGCTCACCTCTGGTTTATGGCTTGGATATTATAGTTAGCTTTGACACTGTAATGTGAACCCAAACTACGATGGCTCAAGCCATCTTCCACAAAGGACGAAAACACTCACCAGCTGATCCACAGCCTCGTTTCCCACCAGAGCTTCACCCACAAACAGAACAAGATCTGGGGTGTTAACGGCAATGAGCTTAGCCAGAGCTGTCATCAAGGGAGCATTGTCTTGCATCCGGCCTGCTGTGTCCACCAAAACTACATCAAAACCTTGGTTGCGTGCTGGCAAGGAAGAAAGATGGGTGAAACGGTGTGTCCTTGGTAAAAGGAATAAGGCTGGGTCAGAATGGTTTGGATTCTGCAGCACCCTCAGGGGTGGAGAGCAAAGGCAGGAGAAGAAAGAAGACATTTCGAGCACCAATATGATTGGGTGGGGCCAGAAATGTAATCCGTGGACCTTACCGGATAGGCCTTACCATATAAAATTGCCTCCATGGCAATGCCGGCTGCATCCTTCCCATATCCCTTCTCATAAAGCTGCACCATGGTGCGACCATTGTGGCTTTCTGGTGGATGCAGAGTATTCAGGCGGCGAGTATGAGTACGTAGTTGCTCCACAGCTCCAGCACGGAAGGTATCACAGGCAGCAATGAGGACACTATACCCGTTTTCAATCAGCCAGAAAGAAATCTGGAGGGTGGGCAGAAGAACATGAGCTTGCTAAGTCTTCCGAGCACAGAATCCGATGTATTAATAAATGAATATATTATCTTTAAGGACAGGAGAATCATCTTTCCTGCATTTTCCTCTGAAGCAGGTAGGGATCAAGAAAATGAGCAACATTTTACACCGTGCTTTATAGCAGAAGACCTTCAGCAAGAAGTGCTTACAAACACAACAAAGGTAAGCCTCTATGATACCTTGGCCAAGTTGGTTGACTTCCCAACTCCATTGACACCACAAAAAGTGATAACGTAAGGTCGGCGGTGAACCTTGGCATCCATCACATCACGCAAGACGTCCACCCGGCGCTGAGGTTGGAGGATCTGCACCAGAGATTCTTGAAGGGCTTGCTTCACAGTTGAGGTCACCGCTGGAAAATTGAAAACGAGCAATATGTTTCCTCCATATGGTGCACTTTCATAGGAATCTCCCATACCCCTTGAAGAACAGATAGTCTGGGACAAGATTAATCAAGGATAACAGCAAACTGAACTACAGCCTAGTTACTCTCTTAAGTATGCCACATGGGTAATGTTTCTGTGCAGGTATCTCCTTCCACCCTCATCAAAACATACCGAAAAGATTTGATGAGATATTTTTTTGGCCGATGATGCTTTGGACTTAACGCAATCTCTTTCTAGGTGGGAATGGAATAGAGCAAAAGAAGTCACTACTGACTGGTACATTTGCAGTATTCTCTCTTGCAGCGGTTCCCAACCTTTCTGTCTTGGCAGCCCAGTGGGGGGAATGGGGGAGAGGGGCTGGTTCCATGTGAGAGGCAGGTGTGCATGGAATAGTGTGCAGCGTGTACAAGTGGAGCTTGGTTCTGAACAGGCTATGGGTTTTTGGCCGCGGCCCAGGGATTTGAGGACAATTAGTTAGGCAAATAAAATGTTGGTTGGGCAAATGGAGTGCTATAAGCTCTACTGGGATGCATGCCGTCTTTTCTGATGGAAGAATGCGAACAATTGAATCCAGAAAAACCAACTTGGACTACTTTGATAGATGGATTCCACAATGAATGAGTGTATTTGGTTCTGTATCCGAGGATGATCCCAACAGATGAGATAGTCGGAGGAAAGCTACCAGAAAGTTAGAAACACTTACTAGTGAAGGTACCCATCACTTTGCCTTCCAGTTTCTTTGCAACAGATTCACACAACTGGACTGCAATTTCAGCAGCAACATTCTTCGCTTTGGGAAAAGAAAAGGCACATTGTTAGTTAAGAATGTAATGTTTCTAGTTTGAATTGTAAGGCACCTGAGTCTTGTAACCACTAAGGTAAGACGGTGCCACCTACAGTCATTCTAGATTTGAAGCTGGCATCTCTCAGCTGAGCCCTTCAGCTTCTTCTGTAGCGAGGAAGTCGCTTTGGGGAATAGGAAGCCCTGGCCAACTAGCACTACTTCAAAGATGGAATTAAGCTGTGAATATGAGGGAGGAAAGGAAGTGCAGAAGTCACTAATGATCTTATGAAAAAAGATTTCCCTCCAGTGTTCATTTATTCAAGAAAGACAAAAGGACATCTTAACAT